GTAGAAGAAGAGAAGAAAGAACCAGAGCCAGTTCCAGAGAAAAAGAAATTTGACATGTAAAAATAAAATTTTATTTTTAGAACATTTCTGGGTCAATGTCAATGTTCTCTTCCTCTTTAGGAGCAAACACTGGCTTAGACTCTAAAATCTTTTTACCCAATTTACCTTGAACTTCAACTATCTTAGACTCATAATATTCATAGTCGTCTGCTTTCTTTGGTTCATAAGGTATAACAAGTTTGTATGCTTTGCCTTCTTTAAGGTTTGAGAACCTTCTGTCAAAATTTTCTTTGACTGCTAACAAACCTTCTATGTCTAAGTCTTCAAATTTCGCACCATTTTTAGTCACAATAGCAAACTTAACTGGTTCGATGTTCCAAACTTTGTCAAATGTAGACTTTTCAAAATGGTAGAAGTAAACATTCAAATATGTGAATGGAGCTAACTTATCTTTGACTTCTGTCATGTACTTATTTACTGAGATGAATTTTGCCATCTTTTCTATCGGATAAAAAAATATTTTTTTTTAAAAACGTTTTAAAATGGTATGCCATATAGCTTCTTGAATTTGTTAAGAAATAGTCTAACGTATTTTCCATCTGTATCTCTAGCGTATACATAAGCATAGTCTGCCTTAGTAAAACATACTTGTAATTTTCTATAGTTTACGCCGGTATAAAAGTAGAAAGAGTCCTGTTCTTCGCTGTAGTAGTAAAACTCAAACGTATGCTTGCCATAGTCTGTAATTTCAATTGCTTCATCTTCTAGTTCGTCGACAAATTCGAATACTATATCTCCAAATTTGCTTTTGTTCTTATTGTTTTCAGAACCAGTGACCCAACGTAAGTTTTCAAGTCTATTGTCGTTTCTTATACGGTTTATATGGTCTACAAAAGGTAAATTGTTAGGATTCAGTATAAAATGAGTTGCAATGACAACATGTTTAAGATAGTGTTTTCCACCCATCTTCATATCAGCATATCCGTCATTTCGCTCCCATTCGCTTAAAACTCTTTTTGTCTTTTTGTTTCTGACTTCAAATGACTCACAACAGTGAATTTCATATTTCTCATCTAACAAACAAGTTTCCCAACGGTCTTCTCCAACAAACTCAGCGTACATTTCAAATAAAATAAAAATATATATTTTTATAAAATTTACTCAGAAAAATTTTTCTTTGTATATACGCCGTTCTGAACATCTAAAAGACTTTTGACATTTGCCAAGAATGTACGTTTAGAAGCTGCCATATAACCATATTCTTGACAATACTGTTTATATGAATCGTACAATGACCTTTCATCTAAACACTCAAAGTCAGTTTCATCTATGAACAGTTCATAAACACTCTTGTTTGCTTCTAACAATGTTTGTCTTTCTTCGGTATGTGGAATTTGTCTTGGATTGAAGTTAGAAATATCTAATGTCATGAAATATGAGAACAAGTGGTTGTAAAAGTTAGGTGTCAAAGTTTCTGCTAAGTCGTCAAAATATTCTGTATCTTGCATATGAGAATCTGACGTTCTGACAACTACATATCTTCTGTCAGAACTTTCTAACTTCATCGGAACAACATTGTTTGAAACCATGATGAAATTTGCAACATTTTCACAAACTCTTTGGTCTTTATATTTTCTTTCAACAACTCCAACTTTGTCTGTTATAAGACTCTTCAAAGCATCTGAGTTCAAAACTTTTGTTGTATCATACTTTGAAGTTCGTTACATACTATAAATTTCATATTCTCTATTGAAGAGTTAATTTACCGCAGATGTTTTCTAAGTTTGTCATATTCGGATTCGAATAACCTTCTAACAGTTTGCACAAAATATCTGTAAAGAAAGTGTTCTTACCAGTTCCTTGTTTTCCAATTATAATGAGAGCAGTTTCATTTTTAGCACTTGGATGTTGTAAGATGTTTGCAAACCAACATAAGATATACTCATAAACCTTTTCGTTTCCATTGCATATAATTTCTTTGACATGGTCTAACCAAGCTTCTATAACATTTTCTTTCCATTCTACTTGTTCGTATTTATATCCAGTGAAGATAGAATAGAAGTTTGGAGATGGTGTATAGAACTTTATACCACGAACTGAAAAATCTTCAAGTTTTGACAATAAGATATCCCAAGCATCTAACATCTTCATGCCAACTTGTACGACTTTTATTTTCTTTAAGTTTCTGTCTACATTCTTGTTCTGAAACTATTGTTGCTCTTGGTTTGTTAAAGACAACATCCCATTCTTTCATGACATAACATTCTGGGCAGAGTCAACATAAATGACTAAACGTTTCAAATTCTCGACTGCTTTGTTATAGTCTCGAAATGGACACATATTTCTGAATGCTTGGAAGTCATAAAATCTGAAACATCTATTCTGTACATTTTTATAAAAATAAAAAAAATATTTTTTTTATTCTTGACTTTGTTGTTCCATTTGTTGCATTTGTTGTTCTTGAGCTATTTGTTGTTGAAGTTGTTCTTGTAGTACAATACTTTCACCAGTTGCATCTTCCAATTCGAAACTTTCTGCCGTCATTGACAAATACATAGGACATAAAAGTTTTACAGGAACAAAGTTTGCGTCAACTAAGGTTAAGTTTATGTTGCTAAAGTGTTTGAGTTCACTAAAGCTGAAAACTCTGCATTCGAATGAACAATAGGCAAACCAGCAGAGAAAGTGTTGTTTATACGCATGAGTATCTTTTGGTCATAGTAGTTTCTGTCAACATTCGAATAGCACTTTGAACCTAAGTTTGAAAACAATATATAAAATAGGTGTACTTAAAGTCAATGGAACAGACATTCCTTGTATGACACCTTTTCCTGTTATAGGAAACTGTTGGTAGTAAAAACCAGAAATAAGTTTTGTATTATAGCTCATATCGTTTATAGTAAACTCAGTCGGACATCCAAACATAATGAAACCTGCTCTAGTTGCAGCACATGTTACATCCGTCCTTAAAGTATTAAATAAGTCAACAAAACCTGTTGGTGGTATATCTGAGTAAGTATCTTCAAAGAAGTATTTTTACCATTCACAACAATAAAATCTTCTGGTGTCAAAAGAGCAAAACAGGCTTTAGTCGTCATTGTGTTTAAGGTTAGTTTACAATATCGTCCTTGAGGACTTTGTAAGTTTGTTGTTATAGAATTATATGACTCAGGGTTTTTAGTCGTAATAGTATAAACCATTGTGTCTTCTGCCATTTACTTAGCAAATAAATTTTAATGAAATGTTGTGGTCGTCAAATATTTTTATAACGTCTGGGAAACTATACTTTAAGTTCAACGTTTCACCTCCTTTCATAACGTATATCTTGTCAATGACATTATATGAAACACCACAGCAACTAACGTCGGGTTCTATTTCTTTGATGTTTATATCGTCTGCCTCTGTCAAAAGTTTCAATAGTTCTTTCAAAATTTCATGAGGTGCGATGACATATGAGTTCACTTTTACAGGGTTGTGTTCGACCAAGTTTAACATTATACCAAAGCCTGACAAATCTTCTCCTGAGTTTTAAGTTTGTCTTTAAGTTGTTGGTAGTCGTTTCGAATATCTGCAACAGAACTTAAGTCTCTGCTAACTTCAGGATATGTTGGTTGTTCTTTTACAGGAACTATTGTTATACCATCTTCGTCTTCGTATGGTTTCCCCACTTCAACATCTCTTTCTTTGACATTGACAACAACACTTTGACTGTTTGTTTTGAGTTGGTGAATTTAACTTCACATCTGCCACCGCCATTAAACCTTTTGAAACACTTACGCTTCTATTTTTCGGAAATGACATTTTACTTAGAATAAAAAGATGGACGTATTTGAGTATCTCTTTGAATTGAAGCAGAACAAAGTTTACACACACAAACAATACAAATACATTGACAGAATAGTTCTTTATACAAACAATGGAAAATGTTATAGAATAGCAATATTTGCTGAACCAAAATATTTTCATAAAGCAAAGAAAGTTGGTATAACTGAAATGGTTCTAGTTCTTGAAGTTGACAAAAATATAACAACAAAACTTACAGATATTTCTAAAGGTAAGTTTATCTTACAATTTTATGTCAAAACTGGCGTACTGTCAATATTTGACGGAGAGAAGTCAGTTCAAGAACAACTTACTGACCTGCTGCCAAAATCTGCTCGATGGAAGCTGTCGTTATGCCAATCTGAGGAGCCCCAGCAGGTTTCATCGAACGAATCTTCAAAAGAGCATCTTCCGTGAAAAGTGCTATTGGTTTTGTAAACTTCTTTGCTCTCAGTTCATCTGGACCGTCTCTGTCACCAGTATATTGTATTTGAACTGTACCAACAGTTGAAATACCACCCATAAAGTCTTCTGAGTCAGCAAATGGAATGCCAAGCCAAAAGTTTGAACGGTCTCCATTTGTATATTGAGTTTTTTGACCTCCTGTATGAGTCCATACTTTCACATATGGCATAATAGAACTTTGCATTTCAGGGTTAATGGTTGTTGTGAAGTTGTTGTTAAAGTTCATAGCATCTAATGTCAAGTTGTATGACCTCATATCCTCAACTGTAGAATATTCTTCTCTTGGATAGTATTTGCCATCTATGTTTATATGGTATTTAATACCAGGGTTGTAGAAGCAAGAATAGTCATTTATAGTTCGTCTGAACAGTACAAACATAGTATCTGCATGTTTCATTGCAGTTGTTAAAGCAATATCTGTTCTTGCACCTGGGTCAGCACTTTGGTTTCCAACTTCACCTGCAAAGTCTTTGACAGATATTTGGTGTATAGGGAACATAAGTGGAACTGCAATATATTTGGCAGCTAAAGCATTTGAAATATCTGGGTCCAACATATAGACTGCAAGTCTGCTTTCTATTCTCTTGCATTCAAATTTTTCGCATGTGAACTTAACTGGGTCCCAAGCAGTTCCAGCAGCATTGAAATAGTAGTTTACTTCAGTGTTGAAGTTTGAGAAACCAAAGTCTAAGTCAACTTTGTCTTTGCAAAAGTCACAGAACTTGGCTCCACCAGTTCCAGCTACAGCAATGCTGAATGGGTCTTGTGTTGGTGCAATGACTAAGTTATTTTTGCTTGGAGTAAGTTCGATAGAAATTTTTCCTGCCCAGTTTGGCAAGTATCTTAAAAACCTGAAGATGAGGAAAGATGACAAAGGAACTCTAAGTTTCAGTTTTACTTTAGTGACAGCATTTCCATCTGAACCAGAAAGGTTAACATAAACTCCTGGAACGTTAGGGTCAAGTCTTCTTATTTTCTCAATAGTTGCATACTGGTCTGTTTGTTCTCTAGCTTGTGGTTGTACTGAGTTTCTCAAAGCGAACCATTCATAGTTTGCCCATGTTACTGTTTGAACTAAGTCAGAGTTAGAATATATCTTATATCCCATGAAAACTTCTGGAGCATATTGGTATCCGACATAGAAAATTCCATTGCAACCTTTCTTGTCAGACAACTTGGCAGAAGGTTTTATTTCAATGTCTTGTTCCACGTATAAGAATGAGTTGTCAATAGAAATTATATGAAACCTGTCGCAAGCAATATCTACTGTTGTTGAAGAACCTTCTCCAAACTCACCTACATTTCCATAAGAAACAGCAGTTGTATATTCGTAAGTTCCAGGAACTATTTCTGACCTTCTAATGGCATTGTCGCATTCGTTATACCATTCGGAAACATTTCCATTCATAGCATCCAAAACTGTTGGCGTTATATTCTGAGCGGCGTACATTTCATATGAGTAAAAATATAGAATAGTTGGATTTATATGTCATAATAGAACCCACTCCGACCAAGCTTTACTTTCTTCCTGACTGAGTTTTTAACTCTTCTTTTTCCTTCATTGCCCTCTGCTTGAAGTTGTTGCATCTTTGCATTATGTTCATCTAGTATGTTGCAAATTTCCCATGTCCTTTTTGCCTTTTGGCTCTGGTCGCCCATCTCAGGTAACCTATATCCTAGAAAGAGTTTGTCATAGTCTGTATTTGAGTCTTTGCGTATTGTTTGCATGACTCTTTCCTGAGTTTCTGGTTCAAGCTCTTCAAACAGTGCCTGTCCATATGGAATATGCTCGTTTCCAAATATATGTTTTTGTAGCCATTCTGGTTTTCTTTCCATGTTACCAACTATATCTTTTGTGAATGGGAAAGCTTCTACCCAATCTTTCAGTCTTGCGTCGTTTATTTCTGTAGTTGGTTTTATTTTGTCAAGGAACATGTTTTTCAATACTAACATTTCATTTGGTACTGTCCATTTGAGTTTTCTTAATATTCATCCCTTCTCGGTTCATCGTCTGCAAAGTAAGTTTTTATGACATTTTGTAAACTTTCGTTTGCAAGGTCATGTACAATAGGTTCTCTTCCTTCTATCTCCCTAACTTTCTTTCTAAACTCTTCACCAAATATACCATCTCTATGGTTCTGTGTAGTTCTTTGAGATAAATGTTTTAGAACGTCAGGTGTTATATTTCCATCAGCCATGTTCATTTCATACTGGTCCAAAATATCTGCATGTTTCATATCTTTCAATGGCATTAAAGCCGCGCTTAAAATACCAGCTATATCTCGTTCACCATTGACTTCCATTGCGTCTACAACTTCTTGGAATTGTGGTTGTAAGTTTATGAACCACCTATCTGGATTAGCTTTATGACCCCATCTCATTGTAGTTCCATCGTCTGCAGAAACAAAAGTAGGTTTGTTTCCATCTTGGTTAGGTTCTGAATGAACTTTAAACAATGTTTCATTTCTATATGTTTTCTTGAAATTTAACCTTTTATTTTCACCGAGTTCATCCGAAGATTGAACGTTAAATGCTCGTAAGTAAAAAGGGTTGTTGTATTTGTGTACATTTTCTTTCAGTGCTTCCATTCTATGCTGAATATTTTCATCTGATGTTGGAGTCTTTTGTATGTCGGCAAACATTTTTCGATATTCTTCTACTATGTCAGCCGAATTTTTTTTAGACTCTTGGAAATATTCCATATTCACCTCATGCTCTTGTTGAGGGTCAAGATTTTTCGGCTGTTCCAAATCTTCATCTAGTTCTGTGAAGTTAGTTTCCAAAGGAAGGACTTGTTCGTTTCTTCAGGCTCTTCTAGCTGTTGTTGCTGAACTATTTCTTCCATGTCTGGTTGTATCTGAACTTCTTCCTGTGGAGTTTCTTGTACCTCATCTGCTGGCATTTCATATATTCCGAGACCGTTTTCAACAATTTCCCTATCTACGTCATCCGCATTCATAAGCTTTTGTTCTTTCGTTCCGTCTCTATTTTTTACGCGTTTCATGACGAAAGTTGAATTGTCATTTAGCTCTGACATCAAATATCTCGGAGTAAATTCATCCATGTCATTTGGATGATATGCTATTAAATCATATCCCTTAGCGAGCTTGTATTTTCCAGGTTTGAGATTATATCCGTTTTGGTGCTGAGCCATAAAGCTAAATAGGTTCGGGTCAGTATTTCCATCCTTGAACTTTCCAATAGCTTCTTTATATCTGTCACTAAAGTCAACAGTATCTGGGAAACCACACTCTTCTTTAAGCATTTTTAAGAATTCTTGGTTTCCTTGTTCTCTACTTCTTTTATGTCCTTGCTCTGTTTGTGGTTGTTGTTGTGCAGGGTTTTGAACTGTTGGTTGTTGTGTTGGTTGTTGTTGTTGTTGTTGTTGTGCAGGGTTTTGAACTGTTGGTTGTTGTGCTGGTTGTTGTGCATGCCTGTGTCTGTGTCCATGTGACGATGTAAATGTTCTAGGTAGTCCTGGTGCAGGTGCTTCTCTTGGAGGGTTTGGTGGTATATAAGTTCCACCAGCTGGCACATATGTTCCATCTGCAGCGTAATGTCCTACCTGACTTTTCGTTCTTAAGAAAGCATTTACTAGGTCTGTTTTGGTCTGTTGTAACTCTTTTTCTTGACTTTTCACAACAGTTGCTCTAACGGCGTCATAGGCACTTTGAACTGCCTGTCTCGTTGCTGCATCTGTTATTTTCGTCATATTTTGTGCTACTTCTTTTAACTCTTTGTCGAAACCTTCAGACTTCAGTTTCTTTCCAGATGAGAAGTCGTTCACTTGTTCACCTTACTATGAAGAGCTTCGAAGGCGTTCTTAAAGTCAGCATTTGTTAAAGCTTCATTTGAACTGTCTTCATCCGCTTGTATTTTTGTCCTTATTGACCCTATGAGTTGGGCTGCTTTAGCGTTGGCTTGGGCATCTAACCAGTCATTGTTAGCTTTTATATATTCTGCCTTTTCATTGCCTTTTGCATGGCTGCGTCGTTATTTTACTTTCTTGTGCTAAGTTTTCATACTGTACGGTTTGGTTTGCAACTGTAAAAGTTTTTCTGCCTTTACATTTGCTTCAACTTCTTTTTTATACTCATCGCTATCCATATATGTCTTCAGGGCTTTTTGTTTTATCTCTTCATCTTTCAGTATTTTATATTGAGTAGTATGGTTTTTCAAATTTATGACATCTTGTTCCATTTTTGCTACTTCTGCTGCTTTTTCTGACACTTTTTTCGCATATTCCTCTGTACTTAGTTCTTTCAGTTGTTCTTCTTTCTTCTTTTTCTCTACGTTTAACTCATTGAGTTTCTTTGTGTGTCTGTCATATTCTAGTTTCTTTTCGTTTTCACTTATTTGTTTCTGTATGTCTATGTTTGACTTTTTGACATCTGTTATTTGATTTTTGAGTGAACTCAAATTCATTTGACTTTGAGGGTTATAGGCTGTTCCGTCTGCAGCTCCACCATAGCCTGCCATTTTCGCTAAAAGTGCCGCTCTTAAACCTCCACTCTGTGCACCAATAACTCGGTTTAAAAGCATAGGGTTGCTTGACATTTGTTGCAACATAGTGGGGTCATTCATAATTTGTTGTTGCAACTGTTGTTGTGGTGTCAGTTTTACTATTGGATGTTTCAATGCTCTCTTCCTCTTACGTATATTCTTACGTAGCTTACGTGGCATTTTAAGTGAAGTTAAAAACATTTACGATGAAGAAGTTTCGACAAAGCATTTACGAAGAAATCATGAAAATTCAAGAGGTGAGAAAACAGGTGAGAAAACGGGTGACATCTCACCTCTTCACCTAAATTATATTTTTGGGTCATTTACGCTCATTACGATGAAATCATGACAAAACATTTACGAAGAAGTCTTGACAAAACATTTACGATGAAGAAGTCTTGACAAAACATTTACGAAGAAGTCTTGACAAAACATTTTTACGAAGAAGTCTTGACAAAACATTTTTACGAAGAAGTCTTGACAAAACATTTTTACGAAGAAGTCTTGACAAAACATTTTTACGAAGAAGTCTTGACAAAACATTTACGAAGAAGTCTTGACAAAACATTTACGAAGAAGTCTTGACAAAACATTTTTACGAAGAAGTCTTGACAAAACATTTACGAAGAAGTCTTGACAAAACATTTTTACGAAGAAGTCTTGACAAAACATTTTTACGAAGAAGTCTTGACAAAACATGAAAACATATATAATTTGTGAAAAGCTCCTGGAAGACCTCCGAATAAAAACTTCATTTATGTGGGCTAGAAGGCACGAAGTGCCTGGAAGGTCACCCCAAGAAAAAAAAACTTCATTATACCAATCATCCTCAGGGCTAGAAGGCACGAAGTGCCTGGAAGCCCCACTACCTTTTTTTTTTTTTTTTTTTTTTTTTTTTTTTTTTTTTTTTTTTTTTATTGAGGTCATAGCAAAACGGCTGTTTCAGTCATTAATTCTTAAAAATAAAAAGGGTAAAAACTAAATACAATGGGTAAAATTCAATAGTGTCTGTGCTATCGTTCAATTTGAAGGTGTCTTTTGAAACCGCAAGACACATTGAATTTTTGAATAGTGTATTATGGTTTGACAGACACCAATGAAAAAAATAAAATGATATTTATTTTAAATATATAAGATCCTTATATAAAATATAAATATTTTATCGTTTTATTTTCTTGTTTTAGAAATGTTTTTTATTGAAAAATCAATAAAACTAACTCCAAAATAAAATTTTTGATTTAAAGACACTATGATGACACCAGGCAAATCTTCCAAGACACCTATCGTCTGGAATCTAACCACCCTAAAAAATATATTTTTTATTTACGATTTTTTATATTTGGATTTTTAAGGCATAATTTATAAAATATTAATAATTTAATCGATTTGATATTAAGAAAGACATTTAAAATTCATAAAAGATCCAAATAATTTCATATCCAAAGTTATTAAGATTTGAAGATTTGAGGAAAGAAAAGGAGAAATATTGCATATGAAATGTTTTCAAAAAATACATCAGAAATTGTAAAAGAATTTTAATAATTAATAAGATTTGGATGGGTTAAAATTTGTGATGAAACCACCAGACACTATCAGTCTTATTCTCACTAAAACCGTAATTCATATTGTCACTCAAACCGTCAGTCATATTGTCATTAAAACGGTCAGTCATACACTCACTCAAATCAACAGTCATATTGTCACCCAAACTATCAGTCTTATCCTAACTAAAAAGCTAATTCATAGTGTGTGTCAAACCGTCAGTCATATTGTCAGTCAAAATATCAGTCTTATTCTCACTAAAACCATCAGTCATACACTCTCTTAAACTATGAGTCATATTGTCACCCAAACTCTCAATCATACACTCACTCGAATCAACAGTCATAGTGTCTGTCAAACCGAAGTCATATTGTCAGTCAAACTATCAGTCATATTCTAACTAAAACCGTAAGTCATAGTGTGTGTCAAACCGTCAGTCATATTGTCAGTCAAACGGTCAGTCATACACTCACTCAAATCAACAGTCATATTGTCACCCAAACTATCAGTCTTATTCTCACTAAAACCATCAGTCATACACTCTCTTAAACTATGAGTCATATTGTCACCCAAACTCTCAATCATACACTCACTCAAATCAACAGTCATATTGTCAGTCAAACCGTCAGTTATATTGTCACTCAAACTGTCAGTCTTATTCTAACTAAAAAGCTAATTCATAGTGTCTGTCAAACCGAAGTCATATTGTCACTCAAATTGTCAGTCATACACTCACTCAAATCAACAGTCATATTGTCACCCAAACTGTCAGTCTTATTCTCACTAAAACCATCAGTCATACACTCTCTTAAACTATGAGTCATATTGTCACCCAAACTCTCAATCATACACTCACTCAAATCAACAGTCATATTGTCAGTCAAACCGTCAGTTATATTGTCACTCAAACTGTCAGTCTTATGAGTGTGGTAGAATTTACGAAAAAGTGACACTTAACCTTAAATTTTCAAACACTATTTTTTGATTGTATTTTGTTATTTATATATTTATATATATAAATATATTTATATATGTATATTTATATATGTATATTTATATATGTATATTTATGTATGTATATTTATATATGTATATTTATATATGTATATTTATGTATGTATATTTATATATGTATATTTATGTATGTATATTTATATATGTATATTTATATATGTATATTTATATATGTATATATTTATATATGTATATATTTATATATGTATATATTTATATATGTATGTATATTCTAACTAAAAAGCTAATTCATAGTGTCTGTCAAACCGAAGTCATATTGTCACTCAAATTGTCAGTCATACACTCACTCAAATCAACAGTCATATTGTCACCCAAACTGTCAGTCTTATTCTCACTAAAACCATCAGTCATACACTCTCTTAAACTATGAGTCATATTGTCACCCAAACTCTCAATCATACACTCACTCAAATCAACAGTCATATTGTCAGTCAAACCGTCAGTTATATTGTCACTCAAACTGTCAGTCTTATTCTAACTAAAAAGCTAATTCATAGTGTCTGTCAAACCGTCAGTCATATTCTCAGTCATACTGTAGTTCATACTATCACCCAAACTGTTGTTCATACTGTCACTCAAACTCTAAGTCATATTGTCAGTCAAACTGTGAGTCATATTCTCTCTCAAACCTTGAGTTACACTGACAACCAAACCCTCATTCAAAATGTCACTCAAACTGTCAGTTATATTCCTAGACATATTCAAACTTTCAGGCATATTGTCAGCCAGATACTCAGTTATAGAGTCACTTTTTTGTCATTAATGAATTCAGTTATAGATTCAAACATACATTCGGTCCAATATTGGATCATGCAGTTAATTCTACATTTTTTTAACTTGTAAGTCATTATTTATGAAAATATTTAAAATAGTGTAATTGCACAATGATGTGCAGTATTATCTTTAATATTAATATTGTAATATGATATTAGATTTTATCATATGAGATATTAATATTGATTTATGAATCACTGCACAATGATGTGCAGTATTATCTTTAATATTAATATTGTAATATGCAATGTTATATTCTAATTTGAATGTTCCTTTTTAACCTCATGATTTCTTCTCACTGATCTGCCTTTTTATGCAGCATTTTGTATTTAATCTCTCTTATCCTTTAGATTCTCTATGCTTTCCATCTTTCTAAACCAGATTCCATTGTTAATTCTTAAATTAACACAAATCTTAAATTTCATATTAGTCATTGATCTGAAGTTATTGAAACATCTGACGTCTTTAGATTATCTTATCTAATATTAAAATGATTGATCTATTTACATTTTTAAAATAGTCCTAAAAAGTCTCAATATTTATAAAAGCATAATAAAATTAAATTTTTTAATATCATTTTGTAAATTATTCGTTTACTTTATGGCATAGTCTTGAAAAAGTATCAAAAAACATTATCTTAATGGTCTCTAAAGAGGTTAAGTAGCATACACACAGATATGCTAATGTGGTAAAAAGAGATTTATTGCAAAAAGTCCAAAATAGTATATTTATTATCAAGATTCGCGTGGAAACGTACGAGTTTGGGATGAATAACTAACATTCTTAAACATTTAGTAATACTCTGATAAGTGTCCTTAGATGCGACATATGGCTTCTTTTGTTCTAACTTACCAAATTCAAGAACTCAAGTTGGCAGTAACTCTGTACTAAACATACTCTAAGAGCTTGTCATTATTCCGTGTATGACAAATCATACTTTAATGTTTTACTCGTTGAATAAAGAATGCTTGATTTTGAAATCGAATGTTTTTGCTTAAATAGTTCCAGATTCTTGAACTAGGGACGGAATTAGAGGACACGTCTTTGCTGGTTAGTCGCGTGCTTGATGACAATATGCTACAATTATAATAAACGTACAAAAGGGACGAAAATTGAGAGCTTGTAACTTTCAACCTAAAAAATGAATTAAAATGATTATGTGTGGGAATAAAGATAGAATAAACCAAACTATTGTTTTTAGTCAATATAGGGATCCCTCTTGGATGAAAATCTTCTCCAACAAACTTTTGTAAATTCTAAATTTATTTTGTACCTGTGCCTATATTAAATTCTATGTGACAAGCAGCTTTAATATAAATATATATCCTCTTTGTTTTCTGATGCTTCTTAATAATTTGATAAAAATATTGAATAATTTCATGAACAAATATTTTTTAGTTTGTATGAGTAGAATTGTTTAAAGCAAAATTTAAATCATATGTACAAGCAGTGGATCAAGTTAATATAATCTTATTGTAATGAAATTATTCGTATTATGGCCTGATGTGAATATCCCTGGCATATAATTCTATCTGATTGCACCATGAGAAATGAGGAGATTTGCTATTTCATGACTTGAATTTTTTACTGCGTATTGAAGTGGAGTAATTTTAGAAGAATCAAATACATTGGCATTTGCCCCATGTGATAAAAGCAATTCAACGATCTCTTTTTCCCTATTTTCTGCGGCAATATGAAGTGGAGTTTTTTTAGAAGAATCAAATTGGTTGACATTTGCCCCATGTGATAAAAGCAATTCGGCGATCTCCTTTTTTCCCTTTATTGCTGCATTATGAAGTGGAGTTCTATTTAAAGAATCAAATGCGTTGACATTTGCCCTATGTGATAAAAGCAATTCAACAATAGTTAGTATACATATCATGTGTACGGAGGCACTGCGAGCCTCCTTACCCATGATATGTGAATTTGACACTTTACAAAACCGTTAACGTATATTTTACAACACAAACACAAACACCAACTTAACCTTAAATATTTATAAAGCCGCCAACCACTTCACCTCACTAACGTTTTCACAAACGACTTCACTACTGTAAAAATAAACGTTCTCACTTACAAAAGTATTGCAACTCCTCCCATTGCTGTGCTTCATATAACAGCTCATAATCTTCTGACTCACTTTCTTCTTCATATAGGTCAAAATCACTGTCATAGTTTATACCTGTAAGTTTTGACAAAGCTAATGAAACACGCTTACCGTTTGTATCGTATGCTTGTATAAACTTTCCATTCTTCATTCCTTCATAAACGCTCAAACTAACTTTACCCTTTCTCCCTCGTATCTGATAGAATGTATTTTCACGAGGAACGAAGAACAAGTTCTTGAACTCATGACCGTTGTAGTTTGTTATCTCGAGATGGATAAAATGCACACATTTGCACACATTTTGACACTTTTTCTGACAAGCATCATTCAAATTTGAAGAAAAACCTCTAAATTTCATTCAAATTTCTGTCAAAATGTGTGCAAAATTGAAATAGGCACACATTTTGACATACGATTATTTATATACGTTATTTTAATGGTTTCAGAGAAATCTTCGTTACACATTATTGAAGATTACTCAATATTTAAGTGAATGACTCACTACCACCTGTTTAGAAAAATGGTAGCATAAAATCCAAATGTCACATATATTATTTCTTATTTCATACAAATAAACTTACAATTATAACCTCAACTTGTTTGCAAAGCAGAAACTCAATATAAGCAATCGATCAGTAGTGTATTTAAAAGTCGAATTTAAATTTAAAAATTTATAATCTTATTTCGGAACCAAATAGTATAAATTTAGGACAAAAAGCTACGTGGTGTTGATAACAACTATTAAAATTCAAATATTACTACCATGAACAATACAATGGCTCATATTGATAATTGATAAACGTGCATATAAATTGCATATATCATCAATGTCATTAAGTAAAATACATGTATATAAATAGATTAGAAATATTTTTCGGTTAGAATTAAAATCTATGTAATAAAAATAAGTTATAAAAATAAATACCGAATTTTTATTTGTAATATAAACTGCTACAATATGCTAGTGTATACAAATGTATTTTGTCGTATTGATTTGAAAGATCTTCAACATGGTTCAGATCTAAATTTGAAACTCGTAAAATAAAGCGAATCTTTATTTATAATATAAACTGCTACAATATGCTAGTGTGTACAAATGTGTTTGTACAAATGTATAACTCTTTGTCAATTGTTATGGCACCTTATAACTTAAAAATCATTTTCATTAACAAATATAAAAAGTGACAATTAATATTTTCATTAAATGCATATTTAATTATCAAAACAATGTCGATTTAGCTTGAATGTTCATTATAAATGTGTAAGTTTAGGAAAACAAAAAATAATTAATTCTCGCAAAGAAACTTATTTTAAAAGAACCTAAACAAAAGTTCATATAATAATAAATCTAAAAATAGATATTAATTTAAACGAAGATAATGAGAGAATGGGAATGTTGTAAAACAATGAGACTTAATGATCAAATAATTAAAATAATAAAATTAATTAAAGGAAAGCTAAAATAGTTTAATGAATTTTTATAGATTGATTACACAATCAATGTTTCTGTGTCAATGTACATCAATCAACATTGTTTCATTGAATTTTGTCTTTCACCAAGAAGATTCAAGAACAAAGTTTTGTAGTTTCAATAGATTGATTACACAATCAATGTTTCTGTGTCAATGTACATCAATCAACATTGTTTCATTGAATTTTGTCTTTCACCAAGAAGATTCAAGAACAAAGTTTTGTAGTTTCAATAGATTGATTACACAATCAATGTTTCTGTGTCAATGTACATCAATCAACATTGTTTCATTGAATTTTGTCTTTCACCAAGAAGATTCAAGAACAAGTTTTCCTCTTTTTCTTTTTTAAATGATTAAAATATTACCTTGCTTCAACTTTACACGTTTTCGTTTACTAAAATTATCTTTTACCTTCACTTATCTTATCATACCCAATTATTCATTTAATTCTATATTTTTCTGACCAAAAATCCTCTCAAATCTCCCTTCTTCTTTCAAAAATTCTATGAGTTTATTCAAATTTCCTTTAAATCTTTGCTAGTCCTTCTATAAGATTCATTCTAAAATTTTTGAAAAAAATTTAAAATTTGCTAAATATATTCTTTATTACTTTGCACTATTTTCCAATTGAAAAATCGTCGATTTTAATCAAATGTAAGATCATCATAATAAAAATTATGAAACTTACCGTGTTTATTAGTAAATTTCAATATGAAGTTGTTATACAAACAGCTGGGACTTTAAATTGAGAAATTGCATAATTCCATCTACAAATTTTGGTCTAGACAATAATCATTGATAAATTATAATATATGTATTATGTGTATTTACATTGCATATATAACAATTTCAATTTCTATATTAAATTGTTATTTGATATCAGCTATATTTGTTCAGGTAAAATGAAGTGTAAAAATATAACTCATGAATTACATATATATATATATTATTTTTATTATTAAAATCAAATTCAGATTTATAAATTAAGGTTATTCATTTTTGATATGGTTATCACGCTCAAATATGTTGACAAAGAGTTATACATTTGTACAAACACATTTGTACACACTAGCATATTGTAGCAGTTTATATTATAAATAAAGATTCGCTTTATTTTACGAGTTTCAAATTTAGATCTGAACCATGTTGAAGATCTTTCAAATCAATACGACAAATACATTTGTACACACTAGCATATTGTAGCAGTTTATATTATAAATAAAGATTCGCTTTATTTTACGAGTTTCAAATTTAGATCTGAACCATGTTGAAGATCTTTCAAATCAATACGACAAATACATTTGTATACACTAGCATATTGTAGCAGTTTATATTACAAATAAAAATTCGGTATTTATTTTTATAACTTATTTTTTATTACATAGATTTTAATTCTAACCGAAAAATATTTCTAATCTATTTATATACATGTATTTTACTTAATGACATTGATGATATATGCAATTTATATGCACGTTTATCAATTATCAATATGAGCCATTGTATTGTTCATGGTAGTAATATTTGAATTTTAATAGTTGTTATCAACACCACGTAGCTTTTTGTCCTAAATTTATACTATTTGGTTCCGAAATAAGATTATAAATTTTTAAATTTAAATTCGACTTTTAAATACACTACTGATCGATTGCTTATATTGAGTTTCTGCTTTGCAAACAAGTTGAGGTTATAATTGTAAGTTTATTTGTATGAAATAAGAAATAATATATGTGACATTTGGATTTTATGCTACCATTTTTCTAAACAGGTGGTAGTGAGTCATTCACTTAAATATTGAGTAATCTTCAATAATGTGTAACGAAGATTTCTCTGAAACCATTAAAATAACGTATATAAATAATCGTATGTCAAAATGTGTGCCTATTTCAATTTTGCACACATTTTGACAGAAATTTGAATGAAATTTAGAGGTTTTTCTTCAAATTTGAATGATGCTTGTCAGAAAAAGTGTCAAAATGTGTGCAAATGTGTGCTATGTTTTTTTCTCTGTTATCTCAATAGTTTTCGTCATTTATATAAAAATAAAATAAAAAATAAACTTAAAAATTAATGATATCACCACTCCCACACGTATGAAAACATCCATTTAAATTTAGGGTAGAAGGTTAGATCTAACCTCATTTCTACCCTCATTTCTACCCTCATTTCTACCCTGTTGAATTCATTGCTTTATAACTCTCTTCCTTGGTTTCTTTTTAGTTGCTTTCTTCACGTCTGTCTCCAACTTGACTGTCTTTCTTCTTCGGCCGTAATGATACCAGTTACTTCCACCAGTCAATGGGTCAAATGGTCGTTCATAAGGGTTTCCATACATTCCATAGGGACCATACGGAAGAACTACTGGTGGAGAAGAAACATTTTCTTTAGTTCCATCGAATCTATTTAAATGCATTGTTTCACCTTTCATCTGGTCATTAAAGTCTTTTGCGTGTTTTGCAAACTCGTCGTCCTTTCCTAAAGCATTTTCTGACTCAGTCGCAACCAAATTGGATGCTTTATTTATGAGCCCTATTTTATTTAATCTTAACTTCTTTGCAACCCAGCCTCCAATCTTCCCTTTATTTGCATCTAATGTCTTGAAACCCTTCCTCCACTCATTTTATTTACTGCGTCATAAGCTCCAAGTGCTTTTGCTCCAAATGCTAATGCTTTTGTTCCCATTGCGCCTAAAGCTGCCCAAGCTACCATTTACACCATATTAAAATCATCTCTCTTCAATATTATCTCATAAAAGTTCTCGTTACTGGAGAAAGTCAATGAAACATAAGCGTTCTCACCGCTTTGCGGTCTATCTAACTTCTTTCTTATCTCATCTATACGCTTCAAAATGTCTGAACAATTGCTAACATCTTCTACAACAGTTATTTCATCATGAATGACCTTCAAGAACAAGCTCATTTAATATGCAATTAAAATCATTTCAATAATGAGTCCATCCTTTCCATCTTTAGGTAGCACAACATCTTTCATTGAAGAAGGTTCGACAAGTCTTATGTTAAACTTACTGACAAAGTTTGTTATACTATAATGCTTCGGCGGCGAATACATGTAGTTTGAAAGACATAATATAGATTCTTCAGCAAATTCACTTATACTGGATTTTATAACAATGTTCTCACGAGACCAAATGCCACCAATTGACAATCTTGTAAGCAATCCTGCTGAACCTTCAACTGTAAACGTCGATGGTAACATTCCACGAAGGTCATCTATTGACATCTTTGAGTCACTGTATTTAAATATTTTCTTAAAGCAATCGTCATTATCTAACCATGCAATAGCTTTGAAGTTTTCATTCGAATAGACATCTGCTTC